CTAGTCAACCTTGCAAAGTTTACTTGGATGGGCATCATAATGTTCACTACATGATATGATACATCATATCATATACACCATGATATTGTTGACTTATTTCTATTTTCTTCGTCTGAAATTTCATCTGATTGCGATGCCATGATAATGACTCTCAGCAAATACCAAGATGGCCGGCGGCAGGCTCTATGTTGCAGCGAATAACCGCTGGATTTAAGCGCCCGTTAGATAGATAGCCGCTGTCCAGATTTCGTGGGCGTAATGCAAGTGTCATTTTATTGTCATTTTATTGTATATCCTTAGTTTTAATAAAATCAGTTTTGATAAAACCAGTTTTAACAAAATCCTTCAAAATGAAACGACCTTTTATGGTTTGGATCGGTTTTATATCAATTTGTTGCCCAAAAGTTGCCAAGGAAGGCAAAAGTTGCCCTAGGTTGCTGGTACTACAAAGAGTTGCTCAAAACGCTAAAAGTTGCTCAAAAGTTGCCGAGAACAATCTATTTACCCCTAGTCGTGCCCCGGCCTCAACAAGTGGTCTCTGGAGTTCCACAAGGTTCTATTCTGGGCCCTCTGCTTTTTTCTTTGTATGTAACAGATATGCCAAACTGTTTACAGGCTGCTAATGTATTAATGTATGCTGATGATACCGTCATCCATTACGCAGCCTCAGATGCAAACCAGCTGTTGCAGGTGTTAAATGTCGAACTCAATTCTCTCTTAGATTGGTCTACTAAGAACGATTTTTTTATTCATCCTAAGAAAACTGAATATGTAATCTTTGGAACTCCTATGAAACGTAATCAAATTGACTCTAACAATCTTTGCAGTGTTTATTTAGGAGATCAAGTCCTTAATTGTAAGCCTTTTTATAAGTACTTAGGAGTATACCTAGACAAGTCACTATCTTTCAAGGAACAAGTTACTCGCCTTGTTAATAAGGTATCTAGACAGCCTGGTTTGTTAAGTAGGGACAGAAACAGTCTTACGGTCCACGCAGCTGAAAGAGTATTTACAACTATGATTCTCCCCAAGTTAGATTAATGCGACTTTGTTTGGAATAATTTAGCTCCTTCTAGATATAAAACTTTAAAACGGTTACAAACAAGAGCGGCTAGAATTGTTTTAAAAGACAGTTGCCTTAGTCACGATCAGCTGTTGCGACAATTAGGTTGCATGTCTCTTAAGACAAGTTCTACGATGCATATTTCAACTTTTGTTTTCAAATGTGTCAATAACATTGCTCCTGAAATGTTCAAAGAATATTTTGTCAAGTTATCACATAATTATTTTACCAGGCGTAATGATCTTGACCTTTTAGTTCCAATTGTTCACACCGAATCTGCTAGGAAAGGGTGCTTTTATTCTGGGGCACAAGCTTTCAATAATTTACCACCAAACCTTAAAAAACTTGAATCCCTATTAATGTTTAAAACGAAGCTTAAGGATTTTCTATGTAATTAACTTTTAATTTTACTTTTCATACTTCTATGTATATACTTTCCTATAGTTCTTATCTTATTTTGTATATTGTAATAGTTCTTATCTTATTATGTATATTGTAATAGTTTTTAGGGCTTTTATCATTTTGATATTTTTTTTTGTTTCCCAGGGCACCTATTGATAACAGCTTCTGCTGACGGGTTTACCCTGGTTAAATATGTTATCCGACAGTTACAGAAACTTATGTTTGCCATAAGTTCATACACAGACTGGGGCGATAAACGTGGCCCAGGCTGCGCGTAGGAATAGAATCTTCCTAAACTTTGAAAACGTAAATAAATAAAGAAATAAAAATTAAAAAACAAAATACATATTATTATTATTGTTATTATTATTATTATCATTATTATTATTAAAATAAAGTGCTATGGTGTTCTTTATTTTTTATCAACCAAATTATAACACTCAATTATGTCTGTTGTGAACTTTTCTCAGTATTGCGGTTCGTACCCCGAGAAACATTCTACAACTGAAAATTAATACCTCTAACATGTACAGCTTACGAAGTTACTTTTATTCAGAGGTGCGTAAATATAATTGATGCCAAACGTAAAAAAAGATATTTACAAAATAAATGTAACGTTTCACTGTGGGTAAATTCAGCTGCAAGATGATATTTTTACCACAGAATTTTACATTGTTTATCTAATTACTGTAACCAAGTCTTTTGAAAGTTATACTCTATTTATCATATAGATACTGATGAAAGACCAGGATTTCTCCTTTTACTAAAAACTCGTATCTTTATCGGGCGTAGTGAAGATACCATTTTTATCTTTCACGTGTGAGGATATTGGTGTCGCCTTGGTTACTAACATGATTATACTATTTTTTCACTAGAATTTTGACTTTTTGGAACAGAAATTATAAAAGTATACAAATATATTATTGTCTTTATTTCTTCCTTATAACTTTATATCCGAGTTTCATAACATTTTTGTGACAGGCATTTTGCGATAGGTGACCACTTTAATTGCACTATTTTGCTGTTCGAAAATGATTATAAATAGTTGTGTTTTACGTGGAAATTTCAGTAGTATCTGTAAAGTAAACAGAACATCACATAGCCGCTTGGGGATACGAATTTTATCTTCTCGTGCTTTAAGTACCTCTCACGAGTGAGCAAATCAAAGCCTCACAGTGAGGCGTGAGTAGTCCAGTGGTCAGTGCGCTGGACTCTGGCTCAGTTGGCCCGGGTTCAAGTCCTGGCTGGGGCATGACGCTGTGTCCTTGAGCAAGACGCTTCACTCACATTGCTTCGTCTTCTCGGATAAGACGTAAAGCCGTAGGTCCCGTCTCCTGCAGGGTTAGGGGCAGGAGACGTAAATTTCCCATGCACGAGATTACTGTGTAGTGGATGTCCTCCCCGGGGTGGGATGGGTGGGATGGGTGGGAAGGTGAGATCGCTACATGGACTGAACCGGCTGCCAGAGGCGCCTGATAAATATTCTGACGTCCACTCTCAACCTTACGATACTGTTAAGTGCGACTGATTATATCCACATAGAAGTCTGCTCTATATAAATGTAAAAATGTAAATGTACAGTACTCCAAGATGGCGCGGCCATGTAATATCCTCTATCTATCTCATGGTGGCCAATTAAGGACCAGGAAGACTTATTTAAAATATTGCTTTAATGTTCGAAATATGTCTCACCTCTTTGACACGCGTCACTTCTTTGAAGCTTGCAATGTTTATATTTGCTTAACAAGCAATTTCTGCAATTTACCATGAGCCGGTCCACAGTTTTATCATCTTCATCCTTCTACGGTGAACACCGTGCAGTAGACACAATTGTACTCTGTGTAAATCGTGGAACATCAAGATGAATTACTATGTGTCATTACAAAGGAGAATTAAACAAGTTTAAATGAAGACATATGAAGACCAGTTAAACCCATACTTCAAATTTTTTTAGCTTTACATATTCAGGCTAAAGTCAAGTGTTCCTCTAAGAAAGGAGTCCCGCACCTTTTGATCTTCACTTCAATTGAAAAAGACCACAGTTACACAAGATTATACTGAGATTTTTGCAGAATAACGTTATTGCCAAAAAACTAGAAATCGATATGCTGAGGAACCTTCCGCAAACAACTTTAGAATTTAAAATTTACCACGAACTTGAAAAGAGGTAACCTCTCCAATTAGGATTCAATTTATTTTACTTTTATTTTGTTTTTTTTAGGGTGGTTGCTCATTGGCTATTCTTGAAATGCTGATAAATAGGACTTTCCATAGGGTATGCATCACAAGTTGCATAACATGCGATGTGAATCACTTAAAATGGTAGAGGAAATATGGTGCTGTTTGCTACAGACTGCGCGGACTATCGAAGTAACTAACAATAAAGATTTGCTAAAGGCCTCTGTAAGTCTTGTACCATGGAACAGTGTTGAGAAATGGATTGAACTGGTAAGGGAGCACTACTTCTCGTTTGATTTAAGTCGAGCCTTGTTTCCGATTCTAAGATTGTTCGGTTTCACCGGCGATAAACTCACTGAGTACAATAATTTTCCATTCCAAGAAGATAACATTAACAACTGGTTTGTACAAGAAGTAACTGGCCCTGGTCAAAATGAAACACACAGAGTGAACATTATGAATGTTAATGCGAGCGGACGTAGACGCAAATGTTTTGTCAATCAAAATAATATTCGAAACTTTCCAAGTGACTTGAGTAGTGGGAATTTCGAAGTTTTTTTTCATGGGACAAATCATGTAGGCGCCAAGAACATTATTGAAAAAGGTATTTTAAAGACGAAAGGATGTAGCAAGCGAGACTTTAGCTCTGGTGATGGCTTTTATTTGGACACGGATTTCGACCATGCATTGGAATGGGCCAGTATCAACTCGTCAAGACCAGCAGTGCTGATATGGCGTGTAGAAAATAACGAGTTTAGAGAAAGGTACAAGGGCCTGGATTTTAGGATAGAAAGAAGTGAAGAGCCTTCGTTTCAAAAAGTTGTGTCAAATTTTCGATCTGGTAAACCAGATCCTAGCTTTCGTAAACAATTGGACAGGATGTATGACTATATTGAAGGTCCTTGGTCCGCTGGACCTTGGCCTGATGACGGCAGGGTTTTGAAAGGACGTGCCACTGCGCTGGACGAAACAAATCAGTTGTGTCTTAGGAATGACGCTTGTTTTGAATTTTTCAACTCTTGTAAACTGCACTCGGCAGTCTTTTTCAAGGATTGAAGAAACAACGGAAAGAAAGATGAAGAATTAGACTGAGGTTTATCTTATCTTTAATGTCAATTATGAGCGTCGTTTCACACGGCTGGTTATCTTCATTATCGTATACAATACTTATTTTTGTCAGGCAACCTAAGGAAATAATTTCCCTTTCCTGTTTCGTTTTTCAAAAATTTGATTTTATGTTGTATACCTGACCCTGTGGGATTCAGTGCTTTGAAGTCTGTAGAAGTAATTTTGTTTCTTAGTGTTGGTTTAGGGATAATGATTTCTATCAAGTAGTGATCGTTTAACTCTCCTAACACTAATAAAAATACAACCAGGGAAACATTGTGAGGAATCGAGATCAATCTTGTTTAAATTTATTACCACAATTCCTTACGAAAAGTTTAAAAATCCGGCCCCGAAACCTCAGAATGTTTATAACCCATGGGTGATTTTCATGCAGACCTGGAAGCAATGCACAACAAAACTACATACTTGTATGTATTGCAGTTATAGTGAGTTCAGTTGATTTTAACTGCTGGTCGTTTCGGTCTAGCGGGCCCTTAATTGCATAACTTTCTTTATTTCTCAATGTGTCAATAACTCTCTGGCAAGTTTCGAAACCTTTCTTCGAACACCCTCGTAGCACACTATGGACTTTTTAACCACTGCAGTGAACTTAGTTTAGTTCTGACAGTGATGGAAAGGGTCAACGATTACTGCATGAACGTCCATTGGTGAAGACACATCAACAACATCTAAAGTTTCGTTTCACCGCACAACGTACCTTTAATACCACAATAAAACACCTTAACATTATAGATCACCCAAATTCGCAGGGTGTGAGAGTTAATCCACAAAAAACTGCCTTAAAACTGACCAAAAAACGAAACTATGCAACACGGTTGAAAATGAATCATCTCTACTAATTAACTGAAGCTTAAAAAATGCATATCCAAAGCCTTTTTCGGATCAAACACCGGTGTCACATTGCTATCATGATTCTCAAGGTATTCTTTAGAAATGTATGATTATTGTTTCGTTACGGTCAATCAGTCGTGTGTATTGCCCTTAATAGGTAAAAAAACTCGTTGTACTGGTGCTTTTATTTTGTTCTTATTTTTATCATGGTTTTGAGCGCAATTTCTAACGAAGCGTGAAGACCGGCATATTGTCTCCTGAAGTAGGAACTACCCAATTGGATCACGAAGTTGATCACGGGAAAAAATTATCATAACTGTTTCTAAAAGGACAAAGGAAAGAAGTATTTTTAGCAGGTGATTTCTAAAGAAGGAAAAAAACGCTAATACAAGCTGGTACAAGAATTTGAGGGCCTCAGTTTAAAGATCAGTTGTAGAAGGCTGTGAAAACGTTTCTTTATTTTCGTTTCCTCATTGTAATGTATGGATTATGAGTTCCTATTCAAGACCCAAAGATCCTTTTCATCGTCGGCCGAGTCTCTTGAAGGATCAAGCTAAAACACGAACGCAATGGAATCGCCATAGAACTACATCAAGCCCAAGCATCGAACACCTTTTTTGGGACCCTGTAGATGACTCTCAAGGATGGGTAGGAAAGGAAAGCGAAGACGACCTCGTTGAAGGTTCTGAAATGTTTTTCAATTTGATGGCACTAAGGAAGTTGATTGCTAAGTTAGAAGAAGATGGCGAGAAAACGGTTGCGTCAGTATACTCTTCATCAACTAAGGGCAAATCATTCAGTCAACCAGTCCTCATCTTGCTATTAGAAAGAATCATATTTTCATTTCTATATCAGTCAATACGAAAGCGTCCAAAGACAAAGGACACGTTAAGTCGTCTTGAAGATCTTAACATCATCTTAAAAACAATTCAACGTACAGTTGAAAGCGACGAAGCGCATCGAGCACACCTTAGAGATTCAAGAGAAACAATTAACGATGGTCAGCAAGCCGTGAAACATTTGCAATGTTTGTTTCAGAAACTGCACGAAATAGAGCAAGACATTTTAAACGGTTTCGCTGGTCTTCAGAAAGCTTTCACTGAGGTAGACAAGAAGATGCCCGTAGAAACTGAGTTTCTCACGCCTGAACATAGTTTGAAAATGAACAGTGAAACAGGAACATGTGCTGATACAGTTCGAGTTTGTTCTTGCCTTGGACTTCGTATTGATTTTCTAGATCACCTCGGTAACTTTTCGCGTAGAATTAGAAACCACCGCTCAGTAAGGGACTGGATCGTGAAATTCTTGTGGGAAAATTATGAATCTCTTCGTTTTGATGAGAAAAGTTCTCTGAAAAAAGAGCTGCTACTTGCAATCGGTTTCGAATCGACGGGTTCTATCGAGACCGTTTTAACACGTTCGCTCGCAGGAAATATGCAGCAGCACTTAGAGGCGTGGGAATGGGCTGCGATATTTGTAGAAGACGAGTTCAAATACAATTTGTTGCTGTCTCCGCAGGTCGAGAAGTTTCCTTTTCAATGTAATTCCACAGATACGTGGTTTCAGAAATCCCAAAACAACTCCTTGAACGAAGAAGAAGGCTCAGTCAAAATCAAAAATGTTTCGTTAGAGAAAGGCGCAATGCATGAAAAGACAGGTTCTATTCTAAGTGAATTATGCATGGAACAAGACCAATTCACTGTTTTTTTTCATGGAACAGATCACGACAGTGCAAAGGACATTTTCCAACGGGGTGTAGATTTGACCACTGGTCGACAGAGACGAGACTTTAGTAGTGGGTTGGGTTTTTATGTAACGAAGGATTTCCGAATTGCTTTGAATTGGGCGAAGAGCATTACATCTAAACCCGTCCTATTGATTTTTCAGGTCCAACGCAGTTTTGCTGATAGGTTTCGAAAGAAATCTTTTTTCGAAAACTGTGCTGATGACATGATAGAATGGGAGAAGGTAGTCGCTTCGTTTAGATCAGGAAATATAACACCAGAAATTCAGAAACTGGTCAAAGATTTGGACTTTATGGAGGGTCCTGAAGCCATACTAATTGGAAGAAACGAAATCGACGAATTGATATTTGAACGGAAACCGCGATCTCACCAAATGTGTTTCTTTTCTGAAACGATTGCCGAGGAGTTCAGTCGAAGTTTGAATTCGATGATATTTTACAGTTTATTTTGATTTCAACTGTGTATTTACTTGAGACTGCTTTTATCTTTCTAACTTTCGGCAACATCTCACAATGATCCGAAAGGGAAACTATCTGCACAATGATTGCTGAAATATAACTTCAAGAAAGAATTTTCAGTTTAGAGTTATAATTTTGCACTGCTCCATTTGTTAGTTGTTTAAGAGTTGTGGTTATAATCCGCTGTCACGAAATTTGTAATATCATTATTTAAAAAATTGCTGATACTGTATATGTCACTTATAATGTAGATCGAATATTCGTACTTAAGTTTCAGGAAAATTCTTTACTTATTTCGAACTGAAATCTAACAGAGAATGGCAAACTTGCGCTTTTGAAAAATGCCAGGAAAAGGTGTGCATTATTGATACCTGATACCAATAACGTAGCTCCATTTTCTGCCTGTAAAAGCACACACAACCCACAATTCCTCTATTCGCTCCGACGAAGGGCTAACGCTCGAAACGTCAGCTTTTGTAATCGTTACGGTGGCCAAATTACCATTTCAACTTTGTTGATATATCCAAATTATTTCGTTACCCCCACCGACGCAGCCCCTAACAGTTTCTTTAGAAACTATCAGCCTTTATTCATTAGGATTTTTTAATATTGCTATATAAGTTAAGGAGGTGGACTAGAAAGGGATAACCTCTTCTACCTCCCTTTACAATTTTTCATGCATTTTTTGTTGTTAATGTATTGTTTGTTAGCTTTTTTTTGCTTTCTGTGTGTGATTAATTGTGAATAAACTACTATAAATAAAGTTTGGAACAAGAGACATTTAGTGCCTGGTTAGTCCTTATCTTTAAAGAAAAATTGATTGGATCAATGTTCTTTTTCTAATTCAAGTCTCAGTACATGTGAAATATTACCTGTTAAAATAATTGTGATAACGTGTAGGTAACATTTTTATAGAGGACACGCATCACCTGTAACAAGTAGTATAGTGTTTTAAATATTTTAGCAGATTCTCTTCTTATTATTATCGAACCCACGGGTTTGGTTAGTGCTCTTGTGTGAAAGCTATTAGATATGTTCGAATAAATATTGTTGAACTGACTCAGTACATTGTTGTAAGTGTCAGTTATAGTATGGAACAGAACGAGCAATTGACGTGAATGTGCATATAATCAATGCCTAAAGCAAACTCTGAACTCCCAGAATTTGACCCTAGACTTAATTTTATGCGAAAAATATTCTTAGAACAAGTTCCTAGGAAGACACGTTGAGACATATATGCATCAGACTTTGAAGCTGAAGGGGGTGCATACAAGTTCCTACGAAGACACGTTGAGACATATATGCCTCAGACTTTGAAACTGAATGGGGTGCATACTTTTCCGTTAAATTCCGAAATTAGTTGGACACAGAAACGCTTTTGATTTTCTCATGTAACAACATGGAATTTTGATCCTTTATGTTCGGAAGTGACCGGGACATGGCTGTCCCAACATGTATATATTGAATCGAGTAGAAAAGTGATTTAAATGAATGAAAATATTACGTAGAGGTTTATTATTTGATCCAACGCCAGTTTCTCAGAACTAGGAAATGTTAGACGTATTCAAAAGACAACAAGTTGCAAATTAGGTGGTCTCTTTCTTGCCTGTTCAATTTTGCTCATCAGATATCTAATTTTTATTAGTTTAAAATCGAAAAGATAACCATCAAAAACCCTAATTGTGTTTGTTGTCTAAAATGAAGTACGACAACAAGGGAACTGAATCGACGTCATGCACTTAGGTTTGTATGAATCACTGAATACCGTCTAGGATATATTTCATATATATCTATATTTCATCAGAAGGATAGGCAGGAAGAAGAAAACCCTTCACTGGTACTGTTGATATAATGTTGGTATACACCTCTACCAAAAGCATGTGAGCTAAGTCCTATGTAGAGATCAGTATTCTTTTGTTGTTTCTTACCAACGCAGTTGTAAGGAGGCATTGTTTGGGCAAGCGATTCAAATTAGCACAAAGAGCTTTTATACGTCTTTGCTTAAAATTCAACGCACGTCGTGTTTTCGCAACAATAAGCAGGGACCTAAAGGCAAGAATTAATGTGTTTTCCAAACCCTGAAGCGAGACTGCACGTAGAAACAGATCACAAAAAAACGTAAGAAGTATATAACTAGCCCTTTCCCTCGCTATTGCGATCAGAAATGACAGACCACTTTCCAATTCACTTCAAAGCAATCGTAACAGTCTCATTTGATTTTATGAAATGAGTTGATAATTTGTAATGGCCACCGCAAAGAGTTTCTAAAACTGACGTTTCGGGGGTTGGCCTCTCGTCAGAGTGATTAGTTCGAAACGTCAACTTATTTTCAGCGTATTTTTTCGATGGTATTCAATGCAGAAAGTTGAAATGGAATCGATAGTGGCGGAGTTCGCTAAAGTACAGCAAAAAAATTCATGGTCAGGTTATGAGATAGTTATTTAGAGTTTGGACGAGAATCACCCAACTAATAACAAACGACCGCTTAAAAGTCTGAAAGTTTTGTGCTTTCAAAACCGCTTCTGACGAAAGTGACGAAACATACGAACCGAAGGCCCTGAATTAAATTCTCCAGGGGTTGTATGCAACAGTTCTTTCGAAAGGAGGGGAAGATTACAAACCTTAAAGCCTTCATTCGTGTAATTGTTACTGCTACTGACTGGTACCTAAGAATAAGAGTACAAACGCTCGATTTTTCGTGCGTAAAGCGCGAAAAACCTGACCACTCTGGCCACAAAGCAGAGGCAAGTGGGCGAGCCAGTGAACTGTGACACGAAATAAACACGACTGAAGAGGATAACAGAGTAAGTTTTTGCATGTATATCATTAACAAGTATCACATGACTTATCACATGCAAAATGATTTGGAATAAACCAGCCCTTGCAATTTTTTCAAAGATTACAAATTAGACTCACTTTAGGGGCTCTTGAAATTTGTAAGTCTTTGAAAAATGAACCCGTGCTTATTTATCCACAATTCCACCCGAAATCATGAGGTTACCTAAACAAAATTACCCCTTTATTCAGTCCTCCGCAACATTGTACCTAATTTCTATAGGCTCCGCTGGCGTCCTTGCTGTGAACGTCCCTATACCTGGCTGATTAAGAGCAAGTTCTTAAAACATTCCTACATTATCGGTTAAATACACGGACCCCAGGTACGGACCACTCCGAGTTCTGCAATTTACACTTTTCAATCTTTTCACGAGAGAGGCTAAAAAAATGTAAATATTGAAACAAGTGGCTCACAATTATGGATTCAGACAACGAATACTATCAAAGCAAAAGCAAATTTTACTTGACCATATTGCTTGTAAAACGCTGAGCAAAGTTTTGAATTCCACTACAAATAATCTTTCGCTATGTCTTTGCAGGGCCGTGAATTTGATCTTTTCCACCGTAAATTGCACAACAGCAAACGAGGGAATTCAATGATCAAAAGCCGCATTAAACCCCCTTGTATCTCTGAGGAAAAGTGCCTCATTTGACTTTAGTTTCTCGGTGGAGGAAAGACGATATTTAGAGACGTCATTGAAGCAAACAAAGAAACACTCTCAAAACTTCAAGATATAGATTTGAATTTACTTACAATGACTTTCCTTGCCATTCAAAACTGAATAGAGATAAGTCTCCGAAGATTAATCGTCATCGGAAATAAAATATACACTTATTGACTGAGCGGGAGAGCCGGACGGGAAAATATTTTGCCCGAGGTCATGAGGTCTTATCTCAGTCAAAAAGCTTTTTATCATATGACCACTGACTAAGTTTTTGAAAAAATCGGAAGGTTTGCTTAACTTAAATAGGACGCGATAAACTGGCCGCACGAGAAAACAGCAAAATAGATTCACAACAAAAACGTTCCCTTTATTTTTGAGAGTCAGATGGTGAGGATACTTATAAAATATGTTTCAAAGTTTGCATGGAAGCCTCTTAAATCAACTTTACCATAATGAGTAAGGGTTTCTCGAAACTTTTGACAATAAAAATCAATGATAAAAAACGACGTCTCAACAATACTTCGGTCATTTTTAAGAGAGTGGTAAACTGGAACAATACATATAAGCATGTAAGAAGTACAAAACAAATTAGCAGGTGTAAACGTACTATAAAAACATACAAAGAGAAAAAATAATATGAGGATGATAAGAAAATGGTGCACGAATTGAGTCCGATTGTACTTTGAGAGCAGTTCATGCATAAAAAACATTTCGTAGACTAGTCAGTCAAATTTGTTTGTACACTTTTTAAAATGCTGAAATTCTTTGTAATATCTTTCGGAGTCGAAGAATATTTGTCACGAAAATGCTTGCCAATTAATGAATAAGAGTTTTTGCGTTCTTGATCACGTTGGTGCAGATGGCGGCGTGTGAAACCAACAATGTACATCACACAGGTCAGATTCAAATTTGTGATCAAGGTACTGTTGGTTCACAACCGGTAACTTAGCTTCTCGCAATTTGAGATCTCCTTAAGGCACTTTTTTCCGCTAGACAAAAGGGGATTTGAGACCTAGGGTAGAGTTTTTCCCCATACGGACCTCCCGGCTGGTGAATAACATAAATATATGAGAAATTTTGGTTGCTTTCTTAGTCGCCTTTTTATGCATGATAATTAGCATGAAGTGTAGACGTAGGATGGGAACTAAGATCGCAATTTGACTAACAAATATCATAAAAATGACATTCAATTATCCTGGTTTTCTCATTGTTTGAAGATTTCTTCCTCCGCACCTCTCAACACCTTAGTATGAAATGAAAATTCAAAAGTGCCACTTGATTCAAATCAAATGTATCATTTATGAGACTCAGGGCTCGACAAATTCCTCCTCAGTGTATAACCAGGGGGAAGGGAGCCGGGTCACCCCCTCTTCCCCTCTTTACCTATCCTGGGTTGTAACATTTTGTTAGAGTTAACGTCTCTGTTCATACAGATCAATTTAGCTGGGCGCCCAATCTGCGCATGTGCGTGACTAAGTGGCGTGCTTTCAGACTCTCAGCCGAATCAAGTTGTCTCACACGAGTTACAAACAACCTCACAAGTTCAAAACAAAATAAATTGAGGATACCCTTACTTGAATAACCCTCGTGTTCGAAAATTCTCGAGATTTCCCTTCCGTCTTGTTTTATAAATAAATAAATAAATAAATAAATGACAATTTATATAGCGCCCTATCCAAAGCTCTAAGGCGCTTTACAATCAAGGTAAAAAGTAAAATAATAATCAAACATAATCATTCATTAAAATAACGTTTAAAAAGATAAGTTTTAACATTACGCTTAAAAGTGTTAAGATTTCCACTACATTTTATGGTTTCAGGAGTGTCATTCCACAGCTTAGGTGCAGAGACAGAAAAGGCGCGATCGCCATAATATTTCAACTTGGAGCGAGGAATCACTAACAAGTTCCCACTCGATGATCGCAAAGACCTAGTAGGCTTTTAAGTTTCTAA